TTACAAGGCCGTACAACAGAACGCTCCCTTGAGCATACGCTGATGTTAAGACTCAAGAGATCTCCTTTTGTTTCACTCAGTGTCTTTCTTCTCTATCCTCCCTTTTGCATCTGTCTCACTCATCTGCTTTTACTGCCGTTTTTGTTACTGTGTCTCTGTTCCATGGGACGGATTTTCGGAAGTAAACTTTTGACAGTAAGATTAATGATGGTAACTTGGGGGTTTTCTTGGTGTAGAACAACGACCTTGCTCTCAATACTCAAGCACAGCACAGTGGAGCACCGCTTTCCAATAAACACCATGAAGGCCAAACACATATTGGTCAGATCTGAACTGAAAGTTTTCAGTATTTTTTTTTCAGCTTTACAGTTTCCATGTTGTTTGCTCTCAAACTCTCACTTTTCTGCATTGTGAAGGAAAGGCCAAACTGAGTCCTGGATTAGTCTCAGATTGGAGATTCATGCAAAAATTTTGAAAATAATTAGCATTTCTGAAGGCATTAGAAAGTGGATTGAGTGTACCTAAGCGGGTACTTGCATTGTTGTTAATGTTTTTTTATTATGCTTTATTATTGGGGGGAAATTTCTATTCGCAAACCCTAAAAAAGAAATAAACATATGACAGACTTGTTTATGTGCATTTCTGTTTCAGTTTGGCTGTTTGGGACTTTGTATTCATCTCTGTGGACATCCTGAAGCGCAGGATGGAAGGCGATTGTTCTTGCATTTTAAAGCCAATAGTGTGGAAAGCAAGTTCCACATCTGCATGAATCTGAGAGCAAGCATGGCAGTGCTCATCACCCTGGATACTTTAGTGCTGCATCTGATCCCAAAAATCAGGCCTTCCTTGAAGCACACATTGGGACACAGACACATCTCCTACTATTGGTTTCTATGTGAATTCAGAAAAAAATTGGAGTGCAAAGTTAAGCACAATGAGGAGGGCTTATTAGTGATATTGTAGAGCAGTTACTGTATAAAATGGGTTTTGCTTCCAGCAGTGAAGTGTAACCACATCCATTGTATTGATCAAGACATGAGAGCCTACAATGATCGGGCCTTGTAGACGCTTTCAGAACTCTTGAACCGTTTCACGTCTTTGTGACAATATGCAATATGACAAATCTGATTTGGGTTTGATCCTACAGACCACGCAAAAAAAAAAAAAAAAAAAAAAAAAAAGTGAGAAGTATGCCAATGAATAAAGTATTTTACTGGCTTCAGATGTGTGCCAGTTTATAAATATCTGCAGGTGTGGTAGAAGGCCTTAAAAATTTAATAGAACACACGTGCCACAAAATTATACACAAGAAGGATAAGCAACTTGAATTCACAGCCATTTAAAAAAACACAGAAACAAAAATGTTATAAAACCACTAGTCTTGCACTCCACAAAGAATGACAAGAAGAAAACCAATGTTGGAAAAAAGTCAAGCTTGAATCCAGAAGCTATTTAAGTAACAGAGGACATTTTTTGAAGAAGATGCTCGAGTTATACCACCCCAAAAACTAAACATTTTGCCCAACATGCAATATGTTGTGCAAGGCAATATGTTAAACCTGTGCATCATCTCAAAAGAAATATATATGTTGCCTGGACTGCAATTGATTGTTTTAAGACCAGTATATTGATGTAATACAATGCCATAGTCAAATTCCAGTTCTAAATTCAATTAAGAATGTAACAGCTCTCTATTCTAAGAGTGGATGGATCTCAAACTAGCTTACTAGTTTGAGAAGAATAATTGGGGAAAAAAGTGTGGAAAGTTAGTGCTGACAATGCCAAAAAACTTGCAGCTTTAATTGAAGTGAAATGTGCTTCACCAAATATTGACATAGAGTGACTGAATACAAATACAGCACATAATTTTTTCTGAATTTCATTAGTGAAAAATTTAAAAACCATATATTTGTTTCCCTAAATTTCTGAAATATGTGTTATGGATTCCTAATCTGTCTTAAAATCCAAAGTAAATTTGTAGGGTTATGAATACTTTTATAGGGCACTGTTGATGCACAGGAAATCTTATCATTCTCATGTTCTAAGCAGAATTTTTTTCTTACTATTTGTTCCTTGAACATCCTTCTGAATAAATGCAAAATAAGAACCTTGAAAGTCATCTTCACAGTAACTCATGTTCTTTTGCTTTCCTCTGTAACCCTGACAAGAAATAATAATATAAAACAAAACAAAAACATCCATACTTCTTTGCCAAACTGAGCAGAGTTTCTGAAAGATTTTATGAAAGCGACTGTTCTTACAGAGACAGCAAGCTTGGAAGTTGGTTGTAAATGTTTCTCCCTCTTTTGAGACTGAGAGGCAAGAATGTTGTATTTTAAGCATTGCTTTGAATAGTTGTTTGCGTCTATGTTTCTTAAAGGACGTGTCCTTTTTTGACACAGTTCCAGGAGGTCATGCAACTCTAGTTGTTTCAGGTGGCAGAGTGAGCCACTCCAATCACACCTACTCTTCTTTTGATATGCCTCTTTTGATATTATTAGCATGGCTTTGTGCTGCATTGCGAACGGGAACTAGGGCACAAATTACACTCATTACTTTCTGAAAATGATTATTACAATGTGAGTAGAAGGAAATGCATTGCATGAGAGCTCACACTTATATTGAAAACGAGCTCCTGGTTCAGAAGGCCAAAGTGATCCATACACATGCCCTCAGTTTCTCACATTCTCTGAATAAGTGATGCAAAATTTGACAAAATAAGATATGAAGATATGCATATATGTGTTCAACATTATTAGAAATTGCTTTGTGTTTATTTCAAATGCAATAGAGACAAATCGAAGGCAAGAAGAAAGGAGTAAAATATTTAGAGACATTTAAGCAATAATACCAGTCAACACTATAGAAATCTGCTTCCACACCTGCAGAAAAATGTGAAAAAAACAAGAGACAAAATTATTAAGATTGTGTCATGTCGAAATTGCTCTGTTCCTTGTGTCTGTGCCAGATTAAAAATACATAAAATGTCAATAAGAGTGTTTTACATAATCAAAATTATAATGCACTTTCCCTCCTCCTCTTCTTTTTTTTTTTTACTTAGGGATGCTAATCAAACATGGCCTGTAGTGTTATTTAATTTCCCAGAATTCATTGGTTTTTTGGCATCATTAGTATCAGTGCTATTTCACAGTCCCCATTGATCTTAAAATTTAGACATTAATGCATTTGGCCAACTGCTGCAATGTGGCATAATGCACAATAGACTCTAGATTCTCTACTGGTATTAGAACATTTGCAATATGAAAGCTACATATATATATATATATATATATATATATATATATATATATATATATATATATATATATATGTTTTATGTATGGCCGAGGTGTTTTTTTTGTATGTTTGTTTTGTTTTTTTTGCTGACTTATCATTTACTTTCTGAAAGAAGGATCACTTTTCAATGTTAAAGAAATTTGTGTCCATAGCTTAACCGGAAATTAAATTATTTGTGTGTATTAAACTCTGTAGTTATCTTCATTCATGTTTCCAGCCTTCATATAAATATTGTAATCGCCTAGCATAAACACAGATTTTAAGAGCACTGTGCTTATATTGACTTTTGCTTTAGTTTTACTGGCCAGAGTAGCTCTGTTGTATTTACCTAGGTAGTAAAAGATGTAATATTGTTTCCAGAGGATGAAAAAAGAACTGTAAACATCCTGGTTAGGTCCCAGGGCTGTTAAAGGCTAGAAATGCTATGACTGTGTCTCAAGACATCAAGCAGAAAGTTACGGTCTGGACACACACATTACACAAAGACATTGTTTGATTTCTACGTATCTCGTAAAAACTCGTTTTAAATTATTTTAAAGTATAGTTTCACCATATTTACTGATGCAGAAACAAAAATATCAATTCATTTATTTTTCTGCTCATTGTGGACAGCAGCATTTGCCTTTGTCTTCTATCGGTGAATATTTTCTGTCTCTGAAGAGCAGAATGCAGAATATCTTGTTCTTCCTTCTGTTCATTGTAATTTTTGTGATTTCAGGTGAAAACATTTGTAACTCAGAGTTTTGTAACTGAAGAGTAAAATCATGTTTGTCATGCTGCACATTTAACAATTCATGGGCAAATCTGAGAGATTTGAAAAAAAAAGACAGACTGAGAGAATTTGTAGATTTGACAATAAAACCAAACATTTAAAATTTCAGCTACTGGAAATTGTATTCAGTGTTGCCTGACACAAGGAGTTTTGTTAGAAAAGCTGAATCCAAATTATTTTGCACAGGGTCAGTCAGTTTAGTTTGAGCGTGTGTGCATGTGTAAACATGGTTTATTTGAACAATAGAACTGCGCAAGTTTGAATTTATTGTGAATTTTCCTTAATTCACAATAAATTAAGAAAACATTAAATGTTTGGTTAACATTAAGTGTTAAAAAAACACACTAAAAAAGTCATAAACAAACTACAGTAAAGATTTTAAATTTAAGAGCTGCCTTTATCCTGTTCTACATGTACAGCTCCAAAAATTTGAATTTTGTGGAAAAGTTTACAAAAATAGTCATTTTACATAGATTTGTCAGACATAGAGTGAGCTATTTTAAACTGTTATATCCTGAAATGTTTATCATTATGGTTTACAGATCATAAAAATCTAAAATATCACGTAAAATCAGGTTTATTTGCTATATGTATTTAATACTTGGTTGTGCCTTCTTTTGCTTAAATGAATGTATTACTGTGGTGTGGTTGTGAGAGGATTGTCAAGCTAAATTCATTGAAGAATTTGGAAGAGCTTTACAAGGAGTCAGCTGAGGCTGGAGTCAGCACATTGAGACCTCTTGGTTTTCTTCTAATGGGAGATAGAATCTTATCGCGCTTTTCTATTGGGCCATCATAATATTAAGGTTAAAAAAAATGCATTTGCGACTGTATTCAGACACAAAATCATCCATAATGATAGTATCTGCACACTGTGAACTTAAAAAGCTATTTATGTGATCAAGTGTGTCTGCTGCTATTTCTCTTCCAGGACTGGCTGAGTAGGTTTGGCTATCTCCCACCCCCCGACCCGGTAACCGGCCAGCTGCAGACCAAAGAGGCGTTGACCAAGGCCATCAAAGCCATGCAGAAGTTTGGAGGACTGAAGGAAACTGGAGTATTAGGTACATTTGTGGGCGTTCGGATATATCATGCACAATCTGTTTTAATATGAGACTGCAGAGGCTGTCAAGCTAAGTAACAGTAAAATGAAGTACAAATATAACAACAAAAACACAGAGAGTAGCTTCACAAGGAACTGAATCAATATATCTTAGACAAAACACTGAAAGGTAATATTTATTTGGGTTCTATTTACTGGGTAGTATTGCATTGCACAGCTGTCTACCCACCACAGGAGAGCTTGTAAACATGAATCACACTTGCTGTCACAGAGAGAGGGGGAGAGAAGAATGGCAATACCTCCATGTGCGTACTGTATGTGATTAATGATGCTTATACGTGGGAAACAGAACAGTATATTGATTAGCATGCATTCTCCAATTCTCTCCATGCATTCTTCTCATAATTTCCTGCACTTCGCATTGGCAGTCTTACTCACTCATAGGCACCACAACCCTCCTCTGCAAACAGTGCCATTATTTATCTCCCACATATACAGTAATGGAGAGTAGATGTGAGTAATTTTGAGTTGCAGAGGTTTGGGGAAAAAATAATGTTCTAAATGGCAGACACCCTAAAGAGTTTTGTTGCACATGTAAGCAGATATCTTCAAGAGCTTATGTGTTTATCACTTAAATGGGTGTAAAATACATTGTGTTGATGTACATACGTTTGCATAGGAACACCTGAATTGCCAGGGTTACTGGTGCAGCCAATTCTAAATAAGGAAAATGTTCACCTGTGATTGCAGATCGGATGCATTTATCTCCAAAGACACTAAAAGCATTGAATCTCTTTCAGTGCCTTCATAAAAGTATTTATATCTGTTGAATATGTATATGCTTGTATTTTACTGGAATTTTATTTAATAGATGACGTGGAAGTGGGAGAAAAATGATACTTGGTTCTCAAAATGTTTTACAAATAAAAATATGAAAAACTTGCCGTCTTCAGCCGTCCTTTGCTTCTATTACAGATGCAAGTTTATGATCGGTCTGACTGAATGGGGGACATCTTTGGACATCACTTTTATCAATCTGGCTACAGATGTATATTAAGATTTAAGTTTGAACTTTAACTGGACCATTCTACAGATGAATATGATTACAACTGTTCTCCATTTTTCTAAGTATTTTTGTTACTCTCAAGTCTTTTGTAATCAAGCAACTTTGCTCCTAGCATTTCCCTTTCCTTAGCTCCACCCATCGATCCATCAACTCAGACATACTTCCCTGTTAAAGAAAATATTCCCTGCAGCATGATGGAGCCACCACCGTGTTTCCTTGTCACATTGTTGTTTTCATGCTGATGAGTTCAAATTTGGTCTCATCCAACCACACCACCTTCTTTAAAATGCTTGCTGTGTCTCCTATGTGGCTTGTGGCAAACTGAAAACAATTTATTTTCCCCAACAGTGGCTTTCTTGCTTCCCTCTTATAAAGGCTAGATCTGTGGAGTGCATGACTCATAGCTGTCTTCCACCTTAGCTGTAGATCTCTGCATCACCTACATTATCAGAGATAAAAAATAAAAGTGTATTCCTAACATTTCCAGTTTTAATTTGAAAATAAAATGAAAACTATGTACCTTATTTACCTTCTACTTTTAGCACATAAAATCCCAAAAAACTACATTCAGGTTGTTGCTTGTAAAATGACAAAATGTGATTAAGACTTTAGAGCTATGGACACTTTTTAAAGGCACGATAAGTGGAGATTATAAAGTTATTGTTTTTCTTTATTTATTATGGGAATGTCATTTTAGTTTTTAATGACTTTCTCTCACCTTCACTGTCCTTCAGACCAAGCCACACTGGGTCTAATGAAAACACCCAGATGCTCTCTGCCAGATGTCTCTGATCCCAACGTGACGGCGGGGCGCAGGAAACGAAGCTTGAATACACAGAACAAATGGAATAAGAGGCACCTGTCTTGGAGGTAGGAACATTTTTTGATCAGCCGACATGAAACCATTAGCTCACCCAAACATTTCAGTTAAATAATCCTTCGATAATAACCAAAGGTTACAAAGAATTCAAAATGGAGCATCATATTATTTCTTCCTTGTGGACTCTCTATGATGTGTGTTTGGACCAACTACCATGTTGCAGCTCAGCAACTTAATTTTTTCTTTTCTTTTTTTTTTTTGTTCTTTTTCTTTGATCTACAGTTTATCATTCAATTGTTTGTTTCAGTTTTGGTTTTCTGTGTTTATTACCATCTGTTGTAAAGCAGTATCAATTGTGCACAGGGGCCATTCCAATAGTATTGACATAATGTGAATTATATTTTGTATAATTCATCTCAAACTGTTGCATATCAAAGGAGACGTGATCTGATGAGAAATCAAAATAAAATAATAACTAAAACTGTACACTGCACTGATCACACTAGCTCCACCATGACATGACGGCAGTAGCATTATGCTGTACAGACTTCTTTTTTCATCAGGAGCTCTGGTAAGAGGTGATGGAAGGAAAGATGGAGCTAAATACAGGTCAACCCTGAAAGAAAGGTTTTAGGCTGCAAAGATCTTGAGACAGAAGTTCACCTTCACATGAATAAAAACCCAAAAAACACAACTAGAATGGTTTAAATCACAGGATATGTTTTAAAATGGCCAAGTTCAGAGCAAAATCTGATATATCGTGCCAAAAGTGACTAATATGACTGCGGTTGAGCTATTCGGCAAAGAAGAATGGGCAAATATATCAGTGCAGCTGTAGTAGCAGTGAAGGGGGATTCTGAAAAGTATTGATTTTTCTCATAACCTCCTTTTCACCTTTAACGATTTCTATACCTAATGCATTTTAAAAACCATATGTCACTTTCCCTTCACTTCACATTTATGCTTTGTGTTGATCTATCACATAAAATACCAGCAAATGTGGTTATATTATGACAAAGTGCAAAACCGTTCAGTTGGTATTAATATCTGTAAATACGTCGCCATCGATGTTCAACTTGAATGCTTATGTAAATTTGTAGTTTAACAGATTGGCTGATGAACATGCTCTCTGTCAGGGGTGAATACGCCGGGAGACGGGTTGCGGGAAGCTCATGCGTCTTCCAGCTTGTGGGTTGTGTGTCCACCTGGGCTGCCAAAATCAGTGCAGTATATAGAAATACACATGTGCTCAGCGCAATCAACCATCTGAGAAAAACAAGTTGTGTAGGACACAAGCACACACACGCCTACACACCTACACACTCAGAAAGAACCATTGTAGAAAGGACAGATTCTCTAGGATGCAAACATTTTCATTAAGTCTCATTATTGTTGCATAGCTGAGAAAAATCTTACCACCGTCATCATTTTTTTATTTATTTTTTTATTTCTAGGGTGTTATTTACATAGAGTTAAATTTTCTATATGATTAACAGCATAAGTGCTAGATTAGGGAATATAACAAGCTTGCTTACAGTGTTTTATTCTCTTTGCCCAGATAATTGATAATGTTCAATAGGCAGAAGTTCATTAACAAAAAGAATAAAAAGCTCAACAGTTCACTTATCTTTTTGTGTCTACTCTGAACTTCCTGGCAAAACATTTAACTTGAGACGAACATTAAATGAATTTGGAAAAGAACCTCTTGTCTAGATCCTCATGGTGGTGGGGGAGCAATCACGGTGGCTGAGTCGTCAAATGAAATTATTTGTGATGCCATGAACAGGTGAAGGTTGCACCCCTGACACTTTTGAGGAGAAATCACAGAACAGAAACTCATGTTAAAGGACATTAGATTGATGAAACCTACTATTTTGGATGACATCATCTTGGACCTGACTGATGGAAATATTCTGGCAAGACCACTTTAATAAATATGAGTTAGAGGTCACCGTCATTGTGAAAAATGTGTTAAAAATATGACAGATTTGGAAACAATGAATGACTTCACAGGAGCGTTTGGATGGTTTCCATCTACCATATTCACCTCTGATCAGAAACTAATTTGTCCTTGTCTTTTTGTCAGTCGAGTTGGTTGTGAAGTGCTTGTATGTCCACATGTTGCTATTTGCTTTAAAATAAAATATTTTCACATTTCCTGAAACGGAAAGGAAAGCAAAGAAAATTAAAGCCTTATTTTAGTTATACAATATAACACAACTACAGCAGATCAAGTGCAGCAGAAAAATGTGCTCCAGCATTAAAATATTTGTTAAATATTGTATGTAATAATCTACCATCATTAGTTTTATTCTAGCCAGATACGCCTGAAGTTACTTTTAGTGAGACATAAAGATGTAAAGGCCTATGCAACAAGCCAATAAATGATGAAATGAGGAGGCTTAATAGATGTAAGATAGGACAGAAGGAAAGCAAAGTCAAGGGAGATGAGGCAAGAAAGCAGGACATCAGGGCGCTGGAGGATTGAAGAAACAGGTCGATGAGCTGGAACCTTCAGCTGTAGGGGAGGCTGTTGGAGCAAAGCTGGCAGAGTGTGGAGGCTGTCCTGGTTAAAGCAGAACAAAAAATGAAATTAGAGTAATAGTGGAGATCACAAACCTGTAGGATGAAAGCCATGTTCTGGGCACATATAAATCTGTTACAAGAAAAAATGAGACCGTCATTGTACTTTTGTTTAATCACATTAGAGCAGTGATTCTCAGACTTTTTGAAGGAGAGGGATTATGTAAAGTCGAGTTTTCTGATCATATTATGATCTTATTCCCTCATCAAAAACTTTCCTGGACTGTTGCTTTGATTCTTTTATGCATGTTTGAGGAACTTGTTTAATTTTAAATCAGGGTTATTGAAGAAATAATGTTTCATAGTTTCATAAAGAGCTGGAACTTCTTAAAGAGACAGAGACTCAATTTCAAGGAGTTAAATTGTGAGGTTAAATTAATTTTTAGTCATGCTTGATATTTACAGCATTCAATTGAAGATGACAGTTACTTGTCTGTGCTGGCACAGTATGCCTGTAAAATACCATATCTGTAAATACTAAGGTTTTCAAGTACTGCCATCTCGACACAACTTTGAAAACATTGAAAAACCCTGAAGTTTTTTTTTATAATAAGAGTGAAAAGCTGTTTTGTCCAGTCAACATGTGCAGATGAATGCACATGTTGACTGGACAAAACTAAGTGAAACTCTGGTTTCACTTAGAACAGGCATGTCAAACTCATTTTTATATCAAGTTTCTGAAAGTCCTCAAATGCCCGGTTGTGACAGAACGTATTGACAAAACTAGCTATGATCAAATTGGTAAAATATGAAAAAATAAATTTAAATGAGATATTACATTGATAGATCAATATTGCAAAGAAAACAGACTTCAACATTATTAGCTTATCATGCTAGTATTATACGCAGACATTAGAATATCCCTGTGGCTTTCAGAACATGGATGAATTGGTTTTGCCCAGATCCATGTTCTGACTTCAGCCTGACTTCATTATTGGATATGCAGCAATGACTCTGATAAGAATCAAAGAATGCTCTAAACCAGTATGAAATAGCTCAATAGCTGATGTGTTTGATAGACCACCCCCCTGTAGCTGCAGTGGACATAAATTGAGGAAAATCACCCACTACTGATTCCCAGGGATACTCGTCTGGCTCATCCAGCTGGAATCTGTGGAGCCGTGCAAGCGTTTTCTGCAGCTGCTCAGGCTGTGAGAGTGATGAGTTCAGAGGGATGAATCACCTGTCACCAGGGGCCAGGATAGTCATGGCTTATTGAAAACAAATTACCTGGAGACTCTGTCCCTGCAGGCAAGGCCTTGTTGAAATAATCCCACCACATTTCTGAAGGCTCTCAGTCAGAGGTTCAAACAGATTTTGAGGGCATCATGATGGGAGCATGCGAGTGCCTCAGCTGACCTGGAAAAAGAGGTGGCAACCATCCGCTGCTGCTTGCCGTACTGGATCTCTGAAGTCCGCATCCGCTAGAGGTGACTGGCATGCAGACCGCAGTGAAGTTTTGCTGTTAAGTAACTGCAGCATTTAGCCTTTTTTAATAGCCCACACCCTGCTTCTCTCCATCTTACAACTGCCAGCCAACTACTGCCAGTTTCCTGACCTGACCCCCACAGTTTGGCTCTTTAAAAATGCCTTTCTTTTTAGCACAGTGAAAGCCACCTCTGTACTTTTTTAGTGTGTTTTTAGGATACTTGCAGCATCCACCATCCAGCTTATTTCACACCATCTACTTCTTGAGCTTCTACTCCTAATTACTCTCATTCTACATGTACTACCAGAGCCATTCTTTGACATTCTGACAGGTGTATTTTTTAAAAACACAAACCTTTTGGTGCGATGGCAAGCACAGATGCAACAAGGAAGCATGTGTGCTTTTCTACAACTGGGAAACTTACAACACAAGAACACAGTGTACATCAACATCTTTGCTTCAAGGTGACTTATCATGGCATCGTACTTTTTCGTAAAAAAAGTGGATTATTTGTTGGAGTTGCATGCTTAGATTAATTTGATTGCATCCAAATCAGCAGCTGGATGTAAGAGCAGCTGAGGTGCTAAGTGCGTGGCAGTAACTGTTTTGAGGCAATGCCAGCTGCTGAGCATGATAAAGCTGTAGCTTTAGCATGAGACCAGCTTGTCTAATCCAGCTTCAGATTCTCTGATGACCAGGCAGTATGGCCCCTCAACATGCTCCCAACACAAAACTAAACCATCTCAATCTCATGACTGAAGTTTTATACATGTGTCAAAGAAGTGGGGGAACTATCCTGTCATGTGTAATGAAGCCCACTTTTCTCTATACGACCTGAAACAGTCTATGCAATCTCTGGAGGATATTTAAGAGCTTGGTGGGGTTTTGTCTTGTGTGAAGGAAATGTTTTGGCAGACCTTAGAAAGCTGCTTCTGAAAAATACAAGCTCATCCAGTCACAGTTATGATCCAAAAGGTGTAAAAGCTAAAACTATAAAAAAAGCTTTCTGGTAGTTTATTCCCCCTAATTTTCTTGTAC